TTGCGACGCATTCTGCGCATCGGTTGTTGTCACAGATTGCAGACACGGAAGTGTTGTGCACTAGTGAGATGTTTGCAGTAGACTGCATACTTTTCTGAGACACCTGAGGTGCTCGGTCGTGTGTGGCCTATGGATTCGACTCGAACACCGAAGCAGATATTAAATGGTCTGCTGGGTGTTGGGAAGCGGCATGTGGAAAATCTGAAGCTTTGTTACCAGAACGTGATCCAAATGAGCCTCTCACGTTCTAATCTTGATTGCATGTCATGGGGATCGAAAGCGGTTGATCGACGTGCATGGCGAGATCTGATTACAAAGGCCGTTGCTGAGTTGCGAGAGAAATCCTTCGTGCATGCAGAGTAAAAGCGACGATTGCAGAAGTGACAGGCGCCGATGGGTTGTACTCCAACGACATGGAGCGTATGGTGCTGTAGTACATGCGATCACGAGTGCCTGAGTCAGGTAGGCTTGGTGAGCCTTGAGCGAGGCCACTCGGGGCCAACACCGAAACGATGACGAGTCCTGCAGACAGAAGCGGCGCAGCGTTTGTAGGTACGCTGCATTCGATTTACTAGCCACGTGCCTGCATGCTGAGTCTCTCTATTTCAGGTGGTGGGTTTGCTATATTGTCCTAAGGCATTTTTGTATCTTATTAAGGTCTAACTGGAATATCTTCTATTAACTTGTGCACGTTCCTTAAAGTGTTTTAGTTAACTTTGATAACATTTGCGTGTTTGTGGCATTGTCTTAAAATATATTTTCTGACGTCCTGAACCTATAGCGGATTTGTTCGTAACAAATTTATTTCATATTCTCAGTTAGTGATGAATTATGTCACTGTATCTGTATGCATTATACGAGTTATTTTATTTGATTTCGTCGTTTTAAGTGATTGGCAGTTGTTTGCCATCCCCGGTGTTGCTGAGTTTGATGTGCAGGTTGACAAGGTGCTTACCTGTCTATTACCCACTACCTCGTCCATACTGGATCCAGGTAACAGTTGATCGTTGCTGAACGGGACAGGGTGTACGGTCCCTTTGGCCGTGCTAGACTCGAAGAGTGGTTGCGTGCACTCAGTGTGGAGCGGACTAGGGTCCAGCCACCCCTTTGTGTGTGATTGATTCCCAAATACAGCGTGCTTGTGTTTGCCTGTGAAGGAGTGTGGGCCGGTTCCGTTGATGAAACGTGGCTCCCATCCACATGCCTCCCGGTCTTATTCGTTCGAGGTTTACACTGGATATATTGTGTGTGGTTGGAGCTGTGAGTGGTGAAGTGGAAGCCACATATGGTCCCTTTGTATGCGCAGTCGTCCTGTGGCTAGCCACAGCGACAGGCAAATCCGCAACCGGATGCCGCCAACTCTCTCTCTCTCTCTCTCTATGAGCAAAGGTCCATACTGGAAAAATAAAGTCATCGAAAATCAGGAAATGAATATGCGCAAGAAGCACGGAAATCAAAAGGTGGTAAACGAACAAAGGTTTTTTAAAAATTAGTCTTTGATTACGGTGTTGATCTGGAGAATAAACGCTTAATCCTAAACATACCTTCCACTGAGCTAGATACCGCATCATGTCCTTAAGGGTTTCGAGCCAGCTGTCTTGCATCCTTGGCTCCCCAACTCGGAAGATGTAAGGGACCGACGAGAGATAGACTGGAAGTCAGTGCTTTGACAACTTCTCGCAACGTGGAAGGCTGACAAGCACGAGATTTCTTCTAGTGTAGTCCTGTGCGATTGAATGAAGCGTGCCGTGGTAATCGCTCGCATAGCATATGTGCGATGTGACCCAGCCATGTCGGTTGGTACAGCGGTATTTGCTTGTCGTGAGCGAGACCCATGTTACCTAGGACACGACGTCCAACATCAACGTTGCGAACGTGATGTTCCCATACACACGAACCATTCTTTGTACACAACCGTTATCAAAGGCGTAAAGCCGATGCAAGTCATTTACACGAATCAGCCAAGACTCATTTTCACACATTACCGTGCCCTTTACGAGGAGTGAGATGTCACGACGCCACAGATTAGCAAAAGCTAATCGGGCTTTGGCGATACGAAGAGAAATCTCTCTTACAATGATGCCATCAATGGGAATACAGTTCCCTAGGTAGATGAAGTTATCCACTTGTTCACTGGCGTGCCTTCAAGAATCCCTGGGACAGGTGAATATCAATCCTGGAGTAGGACTTTGCATTTCAATGGGTCGATGGTCATGACACACCCGGGTTAGAATGGTCTGCATACTCTGTGAGTCGTCACCGAGCAAGGTAACAGCATCAGCATAGTCCGTCAATAGGGTAGTTGCCCAGAAGAAGCTCTACGTTAGAACTATGAATACCTCCCAGAGCGCTTAACAGGACATTCTCAATCGCAAAATTGAAGAGAAACGAGGACATGTGGCATCCCGGTAGTTCATCGCTAGTGACGCCGAATGGTGAAGGGTTTCAGGTAAGCCTCAACTCTGCCTGAGACACTGCTGTAGAAAGCCCGAACGACGGTGTACTTTTGGGGTACCCCATTCTTTTACAGATAATGTCTTAAAGTAGATCGACCGAACGAGTAAAAAGACATCAGCAGCACGCCGGTACGCAGTGCCGACGCGCGTGGGCTAAGGATACTGCGAACGGTGCCCTGCCCCCATGCAGGCTCGAACCAGCGCCGTCAGATTACAAGACAAGCTCGTTACACCTTTAGGCTGCTGGTCAGCGAAAAGAACGAAGCTCGGATGTCCAAAAAGGCAACAATGGTAGGCTGGCGACAAAGGTGACACTACTTTAGGAGTAGGCGGAGCGTAAACAGGTGGTCTACACACGCTGGAGCGGGGTGGAAATGTAGCTCTGGAAGCGGTGCTAGCCTGCGGAGTAGAGCGAATGTCAACAATTCAAAGTCAACGGATTTCAGGCCGATTTCTTTGTGGTTGACGCATAAGGTACGAGCATACTTTTTGAAGATCGGCGCGATAAGCGACTCATCCAAAGGATGGAACTTTCCTCCAAATCAAATAGTTGAGAACAGAACTTAATTAGTTGACAATTGCCTCCTCACCGTTCATAAACAGCTCCGAAAGTTCGTTTGAGCCTGCAACCTTGAATCGCTTCAAATGACGAAGTTCAAGACAGACCACCGCTTCGGTAAGTGAATCCAGTGAAAAGATTCACCATCCTCTTCCTCCTCCTCCTCCTCCTCATCATCATCATCATCAATACACGTTAGCTGGGGATGAGAAACATACCTCACCTAATGTGCCGCAAAAAAGATGATACTAAAGATTACACTAAAAAGTAAAAAGGCAAGAAGTAGAATGTTACATATCATGTTATTCATTTGCTATGAGATCGTAATTGGAGGTGGAACCTAAAGGGGAGGGGGTGGACAAAGAAACTCACAATACAAATGCAACTGGGGCCGGTTCCTAGCCATGTCAGCAAGTATGTCCAAATGAAACTACGCAAGACGGGCAATTAGGCATACTTGTTAGACGGGCGTGAGGAGGAGTCCGATTAAATTGTGAGCGGGAGTGCTCTCCCCAGCGGTCCATGTGCCTACGCGAATTGGCGATTGGTGATCCATCAACCTGATAAATAGCCTCACTGACTGACGCCAGCGGTTCGAATCTGGAAAAGCTTGTAATGGTTTCCGGAGAGAAAGCTGCTGTCTCCATTTCTGAAGCGCACTGAGACCACAAAGTTTCGCGACCGTTACGCAGGCTAGCTAGAGTTACTGCCTGAGGTTGTAGAAGAATTCATTGTTGCTTGAGTTAGTGGGATAGCTCGGCGATGGCCGAAAAATTACAAAGAGCGAGGAGAAATCCAGCCTCTCAGATGGCAGCCAGTGATTTTACAGGATGATTGACCGGAGGAAGACAACGCCTTCTGAAAGAATCTCTCGAGTGGTGGTATTCGACGTCTTGAGGTGGAGCGTTAGTGGACGCACATAAAATAAGTCAGATGAGTGAAAGTGGTTAGATAAGTTGTTAGTGCTTTAGTTTCGATGAGTCACCAAAGTGTATGTAGATGCGGGCAAAGACCAGAGCATGACCTGAGTAGAGGTGGGTGGACCAAATCGATGTACAATCTCGTACACTGCTTTGCCATATGAGCTGATTGCAATGTTATCAATTTGTGACCACGCTAGTGTTAGCGAAAGTGAACGACACGTAGCGGAACGTCTCCTTGAATACCTGAAGCGTGTGTTTACATAACGTGAGAGGTCTACCTCTGTAATCAGAGCGACCCCTATCAAAGGCATGAAGGACACCAAAATGACCTTCGCATCAGTACGCGACGGACCCGTAGACGGAAGCCTGTGGCAAGGATAAAGACGTTGGATTTGAAAGGAATTGAAATCGGCAGATCGAATACGAAAGGGGCCGTAATGATGGAATGGATGCAAGAGAAACGCTGACGCCGTGACCACGTCTGCTGCCGATCCAAGGATTCCAAGCAGGAAAACCAGCACCAACCCAGAATGCATACATGTCACATGAACACTGGATGTAATTCATGATGGAAGTAAACTGGTTATAGAAGGGAAAAGAGCGACAACGGGGATGAAGTGATCAGCGTTCATCGATCTCATTCTGGAAGCATTGTCATAGGGCGGCTAACCAAACACAAATGAATCGTGCTAACTGGTATTACACAACATTAGAAATGAAATTTACATGGTTTCCCGTTGCCTACTGTATCTCTTTCTGGCCAGTAATGATTTACCGTTGTTGAAGATAATCCAACTTTGTTAAACTCGAGGACAGTGTCTACGAGACCTACTGTGGGATTATATCTGGTAGTGTGTAATGGTTGATCAACTAACAACTAAGAACCTAAGCGAAGTGGACTTGACTGCTCTGAGTAGCGTTGTGGTGATAAGAAAAATGAAAAAGATATGAACGAGAAAATGGTTGAGAGAACACATACTCCAGCACATAACTGAAACCAAATGCTACTTTATGCAAAAATAAACCGACAGGAAGCAACGTGAATGACGATGACATGCTAACCTTGTCTGCTAACCCGATTGTCCTCGCCTCAATAGATGCGATGCCAACTGCGACAGGCTGCACGACGAACCAAGTGAAATTGATGGTTGATTTAATGAGCTAAAGGGATGTTACATGTGAACAAGTGAGGTACCTGTAATCTTTCGCCTGAAACTGTCACGTTTAAACGAATGTCATCCGAAGGATATAAACGATGATTGTTGTGGTCATACAAGTCGATGTGAATAGTGTACTTCCTTCCGAACTCTAGCACCCATTTATGGTGGTTTTGAGCTGATTCTGAGTGTGCGCGTGTTATTGAACTGACGGCTTTCAGACAACGATCCGAATGTTCATCTGAAGCTTGCAAGGAGAAACGCAGATATGCGGGCTCAACTACATGGATAATTGAAACGGGAAAACGGCGATGAGGCGGACGGGAAAGTTCCTCTGTAGATTCATCGGGATGTACTAGTGTGCTTTGGTTCGCTAGTGCCTCCTCCACATCTGCATTGGATGAAAGAGACGCGCATAGGAGTAACGTAGGCAAAAGACAACAGAAAACCTTTAACGAGAATAGGCGGAACGTGGTTGGAACGACGAAATAATCAAACAGTGTCTGGAGTAAGGTAGCAAGTAGTTGATATGTGTAAGTAGGATGGAAATTAAACATCTCGCTGAATGGACGGTTGGAAAATCGCAAGCATAGTCAAAGTATCGCAACCATCAGAAAAACAATTTATTCGGTAAAAAAACCGCTAGACATGTTGGAGCCAAGACGCAAGTAAGACAAGTGGGGCGACCTTTTGGGTCAATGTGGAAAAGACAAGGAACACAGATGACCTGGGAATACGGAGGAATAAACAGAAAATAAAGGAAAAAACGCTGGATTCCACTGAGAAGTCTATGGAGAGGAAACAAAGGAATTCGACATCAATACTGGAGTAAGGCAGAGGTGTCCACTTTCTCCAGTGCTATTCAAGTTCGCAGTCGACTGGGTTATGCATCATGCCCTTGAAGACTATCGTGGTGTTCAAATTAGCCCTAGTTTCTGGCTGTCATACCTAGAATTTGCTGACGATATCTCTATCCTTTCGGAAAATCCTATATCACTACAATCATTGCTAAATCGAGTCGACCAAGCAGCCTTTATGATCGGACGAAGTACTTCTCACCGTCAGTCACCCAGTCCGCCCCGTCGCTCCTTACACAGACAACTCATCGGGTCTGTTCCTGAATTCAAGCACTTTGGATCTACTATTCTCCTTAATGGTCAGGCTACATACGGAATCCCGAATCGTATTGTCAGCGCCAGTACAGCCTTCTTACAACTGAGAAACACGTTGAGGCGAAGGACAAGAATTAGTCTGAGAACGAAAACCCGAGTATTCTCAGCAAATATTCGTGCTATTTTACCCTAGGGTTGCGAAACATGGTCGCTGCGATCCGAAGACACCCGGAAACTGGAAGTCTTCGAACATTGGTGTCTAAGTCTTATCTTGAAAACGCAGTGACATGAGCGTATCACCGATGACGAAGTTCGTAAGCGCTGTTACGGTCTTCAGAAGCTCTCAGCGACCAGCCAACGCCGCAGACTTCAGTGGTTCGGTCACGTCTTCCGCAGACCAGACAATGAGTTCACTAGGGCCGTGGTTTCACTCTCACCTTGCCAGGGTTGGTGTCGTCACCGTGGTGGGCAATTGAATACGCGGCTTGCTGCAGTGAAATCGGATGTCGATCTTCTGGGACTCCAAGTTGTGCATGGTGTTCATCACTGGAAAAATCATTGGATCCGTATCTGCGTGGAGCTTGCCCAGTTGTTGTGGAGTTCTCTGAGCTGGGCTGGGAGAATTCCACAACAACTGAACAAGGCTCCCGAGCTACCAATATTCCAAATCAGTGGAGCTTGCCGCTGACCGACGCGCCTGGGCAGTTGCAATCCGCGATATTCATGGAACCGGCTCATTCTGTCACAGGAGCTAGCCGCAGTAAAATAAAATAAGTAAGCCAACCTCAGCCGAAAAGAGTGCATATAGAGCTCAAAAATAGCCAATGTATTTCTATGGATCAGAAATATGGCCAGTGTGCATTGATAAAAACAAGAGACTACGAGCCATGGAGCACATTAGTGGGTGGAGGTTAGAGTTGGCATAACTAGGTCGACGGTGCTATTGTTTTAGATTGGTTACTTCTAACTGACGGCTACAGATGTACCCGAGCCGTTGGTTAGGCTGTAAATTTGAGCATCCGCGTCGCGAAGGAGGTTGTGTATTCAACTGCTTTGGCTTACACCGCTATAACAGTAAATTAAAAACGGAGAAAAGGGGAAAACAGTGGCTAAAGATGGGATGAAAGATAAAAGACGGGAAACCAGACGAAAAAGCCACTGAATGGGTGGCTGCGTTGTGTTCCATTGCCGATGTAGCCGGTCGCCAAGTACTAGCTATGGAGACGAAAAGCCCCAGCCCGTCTCAATCCTTGCATTTGTTCTCATTTCGTGGCCTGGACTATTCCGTCTAATGAAGTTGTTTCTCTTAGTGACGTCCATTAAGAAAACGGAAACCACCGTATCATAGTATATATATATATATATATATATATATATATATACATAACAAAGTTGAGAAACCGAAGTGAACGGACCTGTTTCAAAATGACTCAGCACTACAAATTCTAACTTCGATGGATCGAAAAGGCCGGTCGAGTTACTGAAGTGGCAACTGCCCAAATTCGTAAGGACAGTGTACCTTCCAGAACCACAATCGCTAGTGAAGAAGTTGAGATGAACCCACACTGCTGAAGCGTATAGTGTGTGACGATGTAACACAGCCGATCGTACTGTAAACAGCAGAGACATCGTATGTAGGAGCCAAAAAGGTTAGCCAAATTGCCGTGACTGATCATCAATCTTTGTGGTGGAAGAATCAATTTGGTGCCAGTGAACTTCGTCGATTGGGATTTGGCAACAGAGCCTATGACAGCGTAAGTGAACTCGAACAGTTTAGATCAAGTCCTCACCAACTGCCACGGCGTGCATTATTTGTCAATATAGCCCTTGGTTGGGAGGAGTCTCGAAGGGGCATGTGTCGTAACAAGAGTGAGGAACATTACCGAAAAACATAATAGGTTCGATGTATATTGTCTCTCAGAATGGAGGCCCGAGGGTCGATCACACCGGGGATGAGAAGCTTTATCAGATGTTACATAGTCACAAAAGCAATACGGTTCTAGCATTTTCTCCCTAGAACCCCACCGTTAGCTCATCCATCTGACTATCTGGCTGGTTTGCTCCACGAGAAACGACATTGTGATTTCGTTAACCGGCTTTAGTGAAGTTTCCGGCTAGCACACCATCTAGATATTCGATAAAACAATCTGCAGTCGAGATGGCTTACTTTGTCTAGACGGTTGGTTGCTCTACACGGAATATAACGCTACCTTCAAGTTTCCGATTATATTGCCTCCCAAGCATACTGTTGTTGATCCGGTTTATCATTCGCTGGCGGTTCGCAAATTTTAGTGACCCTACGCCGCAAATATTGGACCGTGCGTGAAAAGGTGTTAGTAAAGCGGTTGATAGGAAGTTGTTGGACATGTAGGGGACGGCGCCGTTGCTGTTAGCTTGAGTGGAACGAGGATAGCTTTTAGTTAAGTGTTGCGGAGGGGATTAATTCGGACCAGTTGTTGTTAAGCAAGGACGAAAACAAGAGAAACGAGATGGGTGCTTGTTCACACGTTTATAAGCACCATACGCACACATCGAGTTTTCCCATACATTAAGTACCGACTCCATTAAGGCTCTGATGCGGTTTCCCTCTCACAGAGGGACCGCGGTCGAAATATTCAGTGATAAAGGGGGAAACTCTGTGGGTGTCGCAAATGAATTGCATATTGCCATGAAGGGCTGGTCAGAACCAAAGATCAACGATAGGTTATCGAGTATAGCAGTGCAGTGGCACTTCGACCCACCGATGTCCAGCGACAGAGTGCGTTACCAGGTCTGTTGGATAGAGCATGCCATCAACCGCGGAGCAAGAGATTGAATGACGAGTCGCTGGGCGCACTCCTTGTTGAAGCGGAGCATATCGTCATCAACGGAAAACTTATACCTATGACTTCAGAGCCAAGCGGCTGAACGGCACTAGCCCCTAACGATTCGCTGATATTGCGACCCAAAGCATCACATTATTTCAATGGCCTGCTTGCCTGAATAATATAACCGCTGATGGCAACAATGGAATTATCTGGCTGCATTATTCTGGAAAAGCTGGATCAGAGAGAACTTGCCACTGTTACGATAAAGACAAAAGTGGATGTACCGGAGCCGTAATTTCAAACCAGGTAGTGTGGCTTTGGTCTCTTCTAAAATGAGCTCATGTACAGCGTGGCCGTTAAGGGTCAATGTTGGATGCATAAATGTTGCAGATGAGCTCCTTAAGATGGCAATCGAACGGAAGATGGGTTACGCAAAAGAGGCGTGCAAAAGCTGTTAGTTAGAAGGAAGCGATACAGGTGGAAATTAAATCCGGCTGTTGGTTCTTCGCAGGTGGGAGGCGAGTCTTAGGATTTGCCGCCCTGAGGAGAACAGCTGTCCAACAGGCCGAGTTGGGAGGGCTCAGGTGTACCGGTAACCCCCATAGTGGATGGAACCGGTATATAGCGATCAAAAGCAGACACATTTAATAACTATCCAGTGAAAATTCTGGATCGGATTTTGGTGGACAAGGTAGTCGGAACTTCGTCCGTGCGCAAGTCTGGTCGCATGTCAGGTCCCCGTCTGGACTGGTTCCGTCACCGACACCGCTTGGTGTACCGTTTCACCGGGTTTCTGTTACCCTGTGACAAAATTTCGGTTCAGTCCCGTCCCCGATATTACCCGACTAGCTGCTTATCGTATCCCATTCGCTGTGTACAATATCGAGTTCAATCCCCTCCCATTTTAATAACTTTGTCACAACCCTAACACACTCATACGTTAGACGTTCATTATCGTGGTACGCCTTCTTTTACCAGACAGTTGGGCTGAGCTTGAAATGATAGAAGATGAGTGACCCATTGCACGATTGCTCCCTACGGTCTGTTAGCTGCGAGTCTCATTGATTGACGCCCACTGATTGCTATTGGTGGCATTACACGGTCTGTTTGTCTAGCCTGTACTTTGCCACTTGGCTACGCTGAGGTAATTTCATTGCATTTTTAATTCACGGATTGCTCTAGGCATTTGACCCAAATATCATGCTGCATTGGAGAATGGACCAGGGGCGCATTTGAGTTTGGGAATCGTTAAGGCATCGCCCATGATATGTTAATTTGGTTTAACATTATTATCGCGGTTAGGGCCTTGCTCTTGTTGAATTTCCGGTGGGGTACGCAACGATTAAATCTGCAAGCATTTTCAGTGTATGCGTAGTTCAAGGCGGACGGATGCATGACAACAAATTTACTACACTGGCTTCGAGGTTTATGGCGAGTTTGGCTCGAGGAGGCTACATAAATCACAACCCATATATCGTGGTTGAGCAGCGAACCAAGGAAGCGTGCAAGCTGTTCCATGGAGATGATAAATGTGTCTACTGATACAAGACAGTGCAAACATACTCGAGGCCTACCACTCATTCCAACCTTCTTGACAACCCACCATGAAATTTGGTAGCTCTTGCTGATGGACTCTTAGAGAGAGCGGAGAGAACAATTAGCGCTAAAAAGCTAATTCACTATAATAAAAAATCGAGATGGTAACTCACTTCGATCGAGAAGCTTGATTTCGGTCTGACCGTACTGTTTTGCTGTAATAGTACATCCGTCATCCTCATCGAGATCGACAAGAGTGGTATCATTCACATGTAGATGATACTGTGGAGATGGCAGATGGATGACTGAATAGAAAACGAAAGGGTTAAGAGCAATAAGTGCATGGAAGCTGAATCGCGTCAACTATCCAGAATACAGTGGTGTTAGGGGAAGCGCGGTCAAACACAATCAATCATATCACACGAACAAAGTGAGACGGCACTATTTTACGCAACCAAACTGAATCTGGTGTGAACACGCTTCAAATTCGCTACGACAGCAACCATACCAATTTTCAGCCTTGTTGCTACAGGTTCGATAGTTGAGCAGTTCGAATTGATGACACGCATGAGCTGCAGCGAAGTCCGCTTATTCTAGGACTTTGTAACATAAAAACACCTCTTTGGGTGCAACATGCATTGCTGTTGGTAAATCTCCGGGTAAGAACTTGACGAAAGCGGTAACCGCAGGCCAGGATCCCAATTAACAAACGGAAGTTTGAAGTGATACATATATCAGCTCACGATACAATGAAAACGAGGGTTGTGGACAAGACGAAGTGAAAGTGTGATCTGGTGGACAGAGCAAATGGTGCTCTGAGTAAACTGGCTCATTGTTAGACGAGCGGCACATTGATACGTGAGTGTTGAGCGAAATGGGGATAGCATTGGTACAGCGATCGTCCTATGTAAAACAGATTTGGCTCACGGACTCCAGTCACAAAAATATTCGTGAGATTAACATGGGAAGATGGGCATTCCTAACCAGCAAAGCGATGTAAGCAGCGAACAGTAGATTGGGAAGGGGGAAAGATCGGACGCTCCTACCTTTATCACCGCCTTGCTGTAGCACACGAACCTGGAGCTTAAGACGGGAAGAAGGTATAAGGTACGCAAGTGCGGGGCTCAGTCGGGCATTTGCCATGACTAAAAGCCGAACACGAGCAGCGGGAACATTGGAATAGACAGGCTCATGCAAAGAAGCTGAGACAAGGGCGGAACCAGTGCGTAGGCCACTGACCAATTGCATGTGACCCTGAAAGTGGAGGCGTAACAGTAAATAGTTACCTGAAGTCCTCTGCTCTCGAGATTTTGAATGGAAGGTGGGGTTGCATACTCAGATTCACTCCATGACAAAAACCTCAAAACGCTGTGTCCGTGACTCATATCAACTTGACTGTCTTCATGGAGACTCCATTTAAACGGAACACCGTGAAGCGAAGAGAACGTATTTCCATATTCATCATAACCAACGACTACCAGAGATTCGGGAGTGTTGTGAAGATATAATTCCTGTGTGGTAGTCTCAACTTCAATCCGACGAATATTGTCAACGATAACATCACATTCAACAACATGGCCCGTTTCTATCCCGAATGTTATGGAGGCAGAGAAGTTACCTAGAACTCGAGCATAAATAGTGGTGATCGTGCGAATAGAAGATGGCCACACAGCAGTGACAACAGCCTCTGTGCTGCAATTTTCCAAGGGTGAAGTTAATGGGGACACAGTTGCGACTTCCGGGGTACCAGAGGACCTGAACTTTAACATAGGAAACAAAACGTACCATTCGTAGCAAGTGCCGTCTGAACCACGTAACGTATAGTTAAGTGGAGAATAACTGTTATAAGGTAATAATAACTTCGAATCGCTTAATCTGAACTCGGAAGAAGCCGATGAAGTCACAAGGGATATTATCCATAAGAACATCATAATGATGTGGGCAGTCATCCTAGTGGATGGCAAAATAAAGCTAAAAAGCTAGAAAGTGGAGTGAAAGTACAACCACAGTTGAATTCAAAGCAAGGTCAGGCATAGTATCACAAAGGGCTTGAAGAACGCGAAGTGCGTGAAGGAGGAACAATCAAATGTGCAAGGTATTTTAAGTGATGCAAAAGGTGTATCATGGTAACAATATTCCAATAGTTCATGTGATACTCACTGGTGTGGTCCAAAATTCGCAAAATCAGTGGATACCGTGAAAAGTAGGGAGAAAACAGACTGGTCATCAGAGAAAATGGGTGCTTGCCGAGGAGTGCATTTACGTTATGTTGGATTTACAGTCCCACCGGAACGGGACACCTTTGCGAGGAGAATAAAACTTAACGTGGTGCGATTATTTGCGTGCCACAACGATCCATTGGGCTATGATGGGTGGTGCTTTTTCACCCACAGAGCTACTCATACCAGACGGGTCAATGGTTAGACGCCTGACAAACTCAGTCTCGTGGCCCTCCAGGTTGGGGGTTGGAGCAAGGGTGGCTCCTTACTTCATAAAACGGACTCTTAGTAGCCCAGTGCCAAAACCTCGCTGCTTTGTGATCAGGATTTTGGTTGAGAACCCTAGGCTTGGGCAACCTGACAGGGTTCTAGCCACGCAATACAATGAGCCTGTCTTCAAACAATTTCTTGATGCTCTAGCTGTCGCAGATGGTAATAAACGGCGCCCTATCTGCTGCATCGAGCAGAGTGGACAGGGTCTTAGTTGCTACTGCCTTCCTGTCTTCTTATACCCTCGTTTGCGCTTTTTTACTTTCATCTTCCCATTCCAACTTCACTTTTAGCCCGCCCATTCTTGGCCTTCCCCCATTATGCCTCAATGGTCGCTTATCATCTAGTTTCCACCCACACGCAATTACAGGGTGGCGCTCCAGTCCAGTCGATAAGTCCAAGCGTACAATGTCAATCTATCCGCTTCTCTTTGAAGCCCTCAAGCCGCGCTAAAACTGGCATGCTTCAACATGCGCACTTTCTTGCAGATTGGCCCTTGGTGAGGATCAGCTAGAAGTAATTCGGAAATTCAACTACCTGGGAAGTTGTATCAGCATTCGTGGGATTGTAGATGAGATCACGAACCGGATAGCAAAAGCTCGAAGTGCTTTTGCTAACCTTCGCCACCTATGGCGGCGGCGCGACATTACTCTCACCCTGAAGGGTAGAGGGTACAATGCAGCGGTACGTTCGACCTTACTGTACGGTTGCGAAACCTGGCCCCTAAGATCGGCGGACATGAATAGGCTAGTTACGTTTCGACCATCGGTGCCTTCGCAGTTTGGCTCACATCTGGTTGGAACACCGCGTGAGTAACGAGCGTGTTCGACGCCTTGTTTACGGCACATGAAAAGGAACTGAATCGCTCAGCACCGTCATTTCACGTACCCGGCTCCGACGGCTGGGCCACATGTTGTGCATGCCAGCCAACGACTTCCACGACGTGCGTTGTTTGCTCACCGGGAATGTGGATGGAAGAAGAGGAGGGGTGGCCAAGCAATGACAGTCCAGAGGAATGAAGGCCCTCACTTCTGAGTTGGCCTCAGTTGGGGCGTCACAGCTCCCTGGTTGGGGTCCAAAAGACGATGAACATGTTTGGCTGGATACACTTGTTGACATGGCAAGGAGCCGACCTCAGTGGCGTGCCTGCTGTGAGTTTCTTTGTGCCTCCCCATCGCTTTTAGCCTCCCCTCCATCTACCATCTCATTTCGTAGCGTAAAACATAATTCTTCTTTTTGCCTAGTAGCCGGTTGGTAGCTTACCGGAACGATGCCTATCCGTTGCTGGTAGCTCAGCTGGCATGCAACTGTTTTTTATTTTTATTTTCCTTTATGTATTGCGGCACAGTAGCTGAGGTGTTTCCCGCCTCTAGCTGACGTGTATGGTGATGATGATGGCCAACAGACAGCACTTGCCCGAACACTACAGACGCTAGCGATCGATATGTACTGCTTATCAGAAACTCGCTGCAAGATCCGAGCCCGGTGCTCAACTTGCGATCTGTTGCGTGGGAAACTGGCGGCACTTTTTCAATGCGTTTAACCGGAGAGAACGCAACTTCAAATGATGGTCAGGCCGGGGTGGACATTGATTTGAGTCTCCGGGCCGAAGCTGGCTGCCTGGATTTCAATCAACAGCCGGATGTGCGCCGTCAGATTGGATGGCTTGTTCAAAGCTTCAGCCGCACACGGACGAACGGCGCCTGTTCTTCATCGCGACCTACACGCACACAAACTGTAGCGCTGAATGAGCACTTTCGTTATGGGAAAAGTATGGATATTGTAGTGCTTGCTGGTGATCTGAACGCCGATGTTGAAAAACTATCAAATGATGAGCTGCCTCTGAGTGTCCAACACGGTGAAGGTTCCCGTAATGATAAGGCTGAATGGCTAGTACAGAATTCGGAATATGCTCATCGATTCCTGGAGAGTACTACTAGAGTACTACTAGTAGAAGCTGCAGAAGACGCTTATTCACGATCTTCTCAAACGTCTTTACCAAAATAGCGGCCAGGCAGACCGGCCGGTAGTTATCCACTTTGCATAGGTCACCACCTTTCGGTATTGGCTTTATGACAGCATCTTCAGTCGCTCAGTAATAAACCAGTGGATAGCGACCTGTTGAACAGCTTAGTTACAGAAGGCGAGATGATGGCCGATAGGGACTTGAGGATCAGTGAGTGAATTCCATCTGGCCCGGAACACTTCGTCCCGCCAAGACTTGCCAGTAGCTTGCGTACATCTCCAATGCTACAATCCAGGTCGTCACATACAGCGGTGGCGGTACCCGTACAACTCGGTATAGACACCTGGTCACTTGCAAATACGGAAGCGAAGTGCGCTGCCAATGCGGAAGTACGATCTGTGCTCAAGGTCAGGAGCTGTCCATCTGAGTCTTCCAATACTGGCACACTGCCTGCAGGCCTCAGGCGCCGCTTCACGCAGGCGAAAGTAGGGGCTTGGATGCTACCGCTCAAGCCTTCCGGTCTTCTTATCTCCCATCTTGTCCCCTTTCATCTTTACGTCGGAGTTCTGTGTAGCTGGAGCGCGCGTTTGAGGATTCGTTCCATGGTCTTGCAGACGACGAATGTCAGGCAGATTGGGCGGAGCTTGGTGGTCTCCGATATTATACCTGGGCATCACTGTGTCTCCTTTCCAGTCAGAGGGTAAACGGCCGACTTCGAGGGAGTGGTGGAATAGTTAGCAGAGGGGATCAGCTATGTATTCGGCTACAGTCTTGAGAAATACGCGATGCAGCTCATCGGGGCCATGAGAGGAGTTCAGACCCAGTTCGAGAAGGAGCTTCATCACTACCTCAAGATTAATTTCGATTTGATCGAAAGAGGGACAGCGTGCAGACTGGGTTTCTGTGCATAGGGGGATCCACTGAGTAGACTGATGTGTTGGCTTTATCCTCGTTATTGTGAAGAACAGTGCCTTCCTCGGAGGGTAGCGTGGGGATCCCACTACCCGCCCGACATTTCTTTTTAGGTATGAGAAGAGTTTCTTGGGACAGAGGAGAGAATCCGTGGCCAGACAGTGTTCATAATGAAGTTTCTTGTTGCGCTTTTTCAGGTTGCAGAAGTTCCTTGCAGCCTTGATGCTAGTTGTGTGGTCTTGAAGTGGTTTCACAGTTTCCGTCGTCTTTTCAGTAAAGATCTGATTTCGCTATCAAGCCAAAGGGGGACCTTTGGAGTAAGACCTAGATCTGCAGTTTGGAACGTATTGTTCAATAAGCAGCATTGTCTTGGATCCTAATAGCTATCATGCACCGTCTGGATTCAAAGACTGCAAGATATTTCAATCTAGGGTGCCGCTGCTGGGCTGATCGGCTAGCTAGAAGTTGCGACGACGTGACCCCTGGTCATGAATTTAAAGCATCGTGTCCACTGGAAGGAGATGATAGTGGTCACTCTTGCGCAGCGGATGGAGGATCGTTAGATCGGAGACGTCAGATGGGGCCGGAGTGAGCACCAGGTCTAGAATGTGAGATGTTCGACCTGAGAGCATCCGTGTTAGTGTTAGGACGTGCTGCGTAAGGTTAAATTCGTAACGTAACCAAAAAAACTTCTTGGGATTGGCTGCGGCCGAGTCCGCTAAACCCTGCTCGTACTGGAGGCGAACAGTCCTGAGATGTTGCTTACATTTATTTCTAATCTCTCGATAACTATCATAGGTATTAGCTGAGGGAGCTGCTTGGTAGGTTCGCCAGCATCTAGACCGTTGATTGAGTACGTACTTGCGTGTGATATCTATTCATGGAGACTGTGCCCGTAACCGTCGTTTTCTCATGAGTGGAATATAGGGAGTGAAGACTTCCGCAAGGTATGCCTTAAATTTATGCCATGCTAACTGGACAGAGTCGACCATCGAGATCGTCTGTCGGACAGCACAGGATTAGATTCCGATGGGAGTGGAACGATAGGAAAATCCCTTGAGTGTCCTTCTTAAGCGGATCGTTGAGCCAGGAAATGATAAGGTACTAAGAGGTCTTGATGGATCTAAAACGAAACACCCGAATCACACCCTGGTCAACCAATTACTGCCCACGTTCCCTGCACCAGCAATCCGCGCGTGAAGGAAGATGCAAAGAAAATGGAAGAGGAAGGAAAGCCACTTAAATGAAGGATAACACCAGAGAGTGAGGAGAATGACAGAATATGAATTCAGTTGGAAAATGGATATGGTCAGGAGAAGGGAAAGGTCTCGTGTGCAAGTTCAAGTGGGACCGGAACTGTAGGAAAATCCCGCGAATGTTCCACCTTGGAAAACGTCGTTGATCCAACAGGGAAACCGGTGTCTTGATGTGCCAAAGGAGAGCCAAATCAACACACACGATTCACATGGTCAACAAACAGAGCGTCGGATCCGCCACTGGCGACCAATGATCTTTCATTGGATCATTGGATGATAGAGAGCAGAAGGAAGATCCTTTGTCAGCTCCTTCACTTCCCGATCATTGCGGAGATGGCGTGGGTCATTGCGG